TTATCACCACTGTGTTTCACTTGTAACAATAGACAAACAGTACTTTGCTTCACATTTGCATTAGGTTTCTCTAACTGCAGTTTTCAGAACTGTTCCAGTCTTATGGCATTCACCTGTTATTCAGTAAAAAATAAAATCAACAATCCAGTAATATTTTTACTAACTCTTAGTGTATTTTGGCAGGTAAAGAAAGCCTGCTTGCTTAGAAATATTTCTCCCAGATAGATGTTGTTTAATATTCTATTATGGTAGTAACAATAGAAAGGTCTTTATCATAATCCTCTGGTAAAAAAAAAGTAGAAAATCATGTTTCTATTTAAATACAGAGAGAAATATTTGTTTCATTTACTATATTGTTCTAAATCAGGAATCTTGCATTATGCTATTTTTCATATTACTACTATATTTCTAAAACTTCTTTTTCATCCATTTATAGATTTTTAAGTTTTTTCTATCCATATTATTCACAACCAAAATTCTCATTTATATTGGTTGCTGCCTGTTTCATCCTTCTTTCTTTGACTGTACAGCCTTCTCATTCCAAACTCACAGCATCTCTCCACCATTAGACCTGGGTGGACTTCTCTCCTGCTGTGGAAAAATGTTGCTGGGCTATCAGATAAATACTTCATAAGGGACAGTCAAATTCATATTTTTATAGCTGAAGATTTCTTTCCTCCATTTCTGATTAATATCGAATTATTATTTATATTGTATTGTATTATAGTTCAAGAAACTTGTTCTGAGGTGCTGAATTTTATTTGGAGCTGGCCTCAGTTTGTCCTTTGTGAACATCATCTGGTTATAATCAGGTAGTCTATAAATACTAAACAGCTTCCTCTGCAGTGATTGCTTCACCTTCTTCATTGTGCTAACAATCCCATGTAGTGGCACTTTTTATATTAGAAGATTATCATGCAGGGTTTTGGGGAAATCCAATAACAGTCATGGGAGTAGTCCTAAACTGAAGTTTCCCACAACCACACAGGCATTTCCGGGCACGGTAAGAAATAATTCAGCCTGATTTCTGGGTTGATATGGGTTATAGTGGAGCTCTGCTGGTAATCTTTCACAGCTTTCCTCTTTGGCTGCATTCAAATTTCACATTTGGATTTACTGATAAATCTGAAGAAATTGACATTATCTTTAACATCATCTTTTCTTCTTCTTTGCATGTCCCCCATCACAGTCCTTGTTGATTGGAGATTAAACATTCTGTTACATGTTCAAATGTTCATTAACACAGATTGTTATGAATGTAGATTTATAGTCTCAAAGCCATTGCAATCACACTGTTTGTGATTTTAAGCGTTTTATGTTAAATCTGAATTCAGGATAGGCCAACTCTTTCTTGTAAGTCTGCCTAATCTGAATATTTATATCAGTATTTTATCATTTTAGCCAATTCAGTTGGGCTGGACTTCTTCAATTATAGATTTTTCTTTCCCTCCTTGCTGTATGATTGCTGTATTCTCGAATTTTATTCTCCTCTATGTTGAGAATTATATTCAGATCTAAAAGGACCTATGAGCACCTTTTTGTTGCTGCTTTGCTCCTAATTTTGAGAGTTTGAGTTTCATTCAAATGAAACTGGGACACTTTGAATACAATTTGAATATTACATTCAACTGAAAGCAGTTCTTGATAATGTTTTGGCGCTTCCTTTTGGTCAACTCATTTGGACATCTTTAGACAAATGCAAAGAGCATCTGCAAGGAGGATATACACAGCTAAAGCAGGCAAAGAAGTTTTTTACAAGCCAGCACACACAGAAGATAGCTAAGAATTAAGCATTTGGCTAAGCACTTGCATACTCACCATCCTGGTGGATGAGGTATCCAAGGAACTGCAGCTGCCCAAGCTGGTGTCAGCTAGGAGTAAATATTATTTTGATAAAATGCATTACTTGAGAGAAAAGAAGCCTTTGTGTTTTGAATATTTATAAGGCATAAAGGAGGAGAGGAATGATCATCTTCGAAAAATGCATGTCAAAACTTCATGTGGTGAACTGTAAACTACTGTAAATTTATAGATTATTTATTACCTTTTATTTGACTTGTGTAAAGGCTTTACAGAAAAAAATCAGTCTCTGCATTCTGTAAATCATAATGACTGTACAAGAAAAATTATGCAAAATTTTTTTCTCGATGAAATCAACATTTCTTACTATCAGCTGCTAAAATGAGTACAAGTATTTGTATCTCCACAAACAGTTTTCCACACTGACGTCCAGTTTTATATTTTGCTCTTCAGTAGTTGAGCTATTCTCAAATTTAATTTATATGTTACAAATTAAAAATAACTAAAGCAGATAAAAATGCTCTGACAGAGGTTTAACTATATTGAGTTAATATAGATAATTGCATGCCATCCAACTGGAAGGAGAATATGGGAAAGTATATATATTTTTCTTCTGCCTCTTGTATTTTAGTTTGTGGTATAGTTGTTTTTCCCAGTGTGACATTGGAGCAAAGTAGCTTCAAGATTCTATTGTAGCCAGTTATAAATATGTAATTTTTGATATGTTAAATGCATATCTGTAAATTTGTGATTGCTCAATGCTACTTCCAGAAGTGGGTAGGAATACTTTCATAAGATTGCTTCATTGTTGCATAGCTACAAAAATTCTTCTGAAAATTTTGTAAATCACAGTTCTAAAATTGTGGAGCTTTTCTATGTTAAATTAGTAAAATATTTGCCCATCACTAAGACACAAAGGAATTTCACTTCCAGCAGAGTGCAAGTTTTGTCTCTCCTTTGGGCTTCTACCAGTGTTGCCTCCTGGTTTACAGTGTCAAGTTGCAGAGTTGCCTCATAGGAAGTCTCACAAATCAGAACAGCAAAACTGCTGGTTTGCTTCTCTGCATTCTGCAGCACAATGCTTTGCCATATAATTCTCCTGCTTGTTCCCTTCTTCACAGTCCATGCTCTCAAATTATCTCAGTCCTCTTGTTTTCACTCCCTTGCCTTATATAGCAGGCAGGGGAGGACAAAAGTTATGTGTATGTATAATTTGCTTATTTTAAGCCCAGTAATCTGGTTATCTAAGGAGTGATCTTCTCTGCTGCAGAAATATTACTCAAAGTTGAAAAGTAGAAATTCTGGTTGGGAGACATTTTTTAATTATTTTTCCTCTCTTCCCTTTCTGTATTCTTGTCTCCACTCATTGCCGCTTTTCCCCTTCCTCTTGGCCAGTTTTTCCACTCACTGCACTATTCAATATATTTCCTTTTTTATTAACTTTTGTACAAATAATTCTCAAAAATTCTATTTTATCCCTTCCTCCCTTTTTTTTAAAACATCAGTTATAACTTATAGGCTCCATCTTTGACCCATGTTCTAGGATTTCTTTGGCCTTTCCCTCACTTGTCATTCCACATCCTTCTTTTCCTAACATTGCAGAGTGCACTCCTCTTCACTTGCCCTCTATTTTACAATTTTTCTCATTCCTATTTTCCTTCTGTCATTTAATTTCCCCCTATTCCCCCCCTTATTATTGGTCATCTTTTGATAGCTGTGTCCTTGCTACTGTATTCTTCTTCTGCTTGTCCATCTTCCCTCTCTCTCAGGCTTCTTGTCTTGATCTGGGAATTGAAATCCATGTGTCCCTGTGGAAAGAGCTCACCGTGGCAGCTGCCCATTCTTCAAAGTCCTGTCTTGAGGTCGTACAAGCATGTGCTCTGGAGAATGCTCCGGTTAATTCCTCCTTCCTGGTCCTCCTTCATCATTTCATGACAGTATCAGGAGTGAAAATGTCAAAACTTTTAGACTGCTAAGCTGGAATAGCTATGTTTAGAGAAGAGATGCAGAAAAACAGGTTGTTGTTAGGGTGATGAGAGGAACTCTTTGCAGGTTGTCAGTTGGGTTTATGTACAACCAATTTTAGCAACTGCATGAGACGTTGGGCAAATTATCTTCATTCCGTACTGTATGAGTTAATCTGCAGTAATTGCAGAGTATGTTGAGTTCAGGCTTTGTACACCAGCTGCTCCATGTACCGCAGCAGATAACTAGCAGTAATGGGCTGCAGTTCTTATCTCCCTTGCTTGTTCTGCTGTGTGCTGTGCTGCTCTCAGCCCTGTGCTGGGGTCTGCTTCTTCAGGTGACAGAAGTGGGATGTGCAGGTGAGACTTTAGCATTAGTCTGCAGCATTCAAGATCTGAGGGGAAAGGGGTTGTGTCTGTCATAGAATCATAGAATCATAAAGGACCTTTAAGATCAAGTCCAACCTACAGCTCTACACCACCCTAACACTAAACCACCTCCTGGAGTGCCACATGCAGCCGCTTTTTAAATGGGTCCATGGATGGTGACTCCACCACCTGCCTCGGCAACCCATTCCACTGCTTCAGCATCCTTTCATTGAAGAAGAATTTTTTCCTAATATCCAAACTAAACTTGCCCTGGTGCAACTTGAACCCGTTCCCTCTTGTCCTGTCGCTATTCACTAGGGAGAAGAGGCCAACACCCGTCTCACTACAGCTGCCCTTCAGGTAGTTGTAGAGGGTGATAAGGTCTCCCCTCAGCCTCCTCTTCTCCAGGCTGAACAGCCCCAGCTCCCTAAGCCTCTCTTCATAAGACCTACCCTCTAGTCCCCTAATCATTCTGGTTGCCCTTCTCTGTACCTTCTCCAGCACCTTGATGTCCTTCCTGTACTATGGAGCCCAGAACTGCACACAGCACTTGAGGTGAGGCCTCACCAGTGCCAAGTACAGGGGCACAATCTGGCCTCACAGTGTATCTGTGGCTTAGAAAACATCCTGTAAAGTTAAGCTAATGCTGGGGTTTTTGGATGAGGGGAACCATGCCTGTGATTCTCCGCAACCTGTTTATCAGAAGAACGAAAGAACTGAAAGGAATCTGTGCTGTCCATCTATCTGTCTGCCTACCCCATAGCCCAGTGCTTCACCCTTCACCGGGGCCTAAAGATGGTCTCAGGTTTGACCGCAGTCACTGCTTTGTGCTTGTTTTGCTCATAACCAACCTTGATGTCGTTACAGGCCATGGTATCTGCTCATGTGGTCGGTGCATTTGCCAGGAAGGGTGGTTTGGAAAGTTGTGCCAGCATTCAAGGAAGTGCAACATGACGGAGGAGGAGAGCAGAAGCCTCTGCGAGTCAGCGGATGGCGTGTTATGCTCGGGGAAGGGTAAGGACTGGTACCTGAACTACCCCATGTCAGAGGAAAACGATCACGTTCTGGAAGAATGGTGTGCATGGCAGTAGATTGTTGTTTATATGCTTAAACAAGGACAGTTTAGTAACCCTTTCTTCCAAAGGCACCTATTGTTAAAAGGATGTTATATTTGGCTCTGTAATGCACTTACATCCACTTTGTCAAACACCCACAACAGCTGTACGTGTTCGGCAGCATTGCTCTCCTGTGCAGTTTGTTAATAGCGTATTATTTCCTGTATGCGTTTATCTGGTGGTCTGCCTTGAACACCTGTACCTTATAAATTAACCATTAGTGCCCCATCCAGTCTGAGGGACAAGGCACTGCAGTGGGAAAGATGGCAAATGTTATATCTCAGGCAACAGTAAGTGGAGAAGAGTGTTTACCAGCAACATCTGGTGTGCTTAATCACTGCCCTCCCCAACACAGCAGCGAGAGAAAGGTAGATGCCTGCAGCCCCCATGACAGAATCCCACACACTCTCTCATTTACTAATTTTTATTCAGAGTGTTGCATCAGCTTCAGTCCAGCTATAAAAGAAATTGCCACAGGGAGGAATAAAATTTAGAAAATCTTGATAATTATCTGAAATTGCTCTCTGAGGTTCCTACCTTTCAGGCTAGGAAATTGCATTACTGGAAACGGAGCTTTTTAACTCCTAATGCAAACTGCCTATTTTTGTATATCATGCGTCTGAAAGAGAATAGACAAAAAACGGGTGGTAGGACTGGATGGAGGCTGGAATGCACCCACTCCAGGCTGGATGTGCCATGCCCTCTGTTGTATATCCCTTGCACAGACAGGGGAGAAACCTGCTAGCTGGGAAAAAAAAAACAGTTAGGAGCTTTCTACAGGAGGCAGACTTCCAGTTGTCCCTTTGGTAACTTTTATTTCAATGCAAAGGAAATTTAAATGGGGTTTCCAGCCTGGCTTTGTTCCATCTATGTTATTACTTATCAGATTTCTCCCCCAATGCACCATTTTATTTTGGGCTTTTTCCAGCCGTTTTTTGCAGTGTCATAGAAAATGAGGAAGCTACATTGTTTAAATATAAACATGCAAAATTATGTTGAATTTTAAAATATTTGTATTATCTGCTACCTTTTCATAAGGATGACTGAGATCTATTTATTCCAGGCTATGGGTCTTACTCTGAGAACAATCAGCTTGGAGCACATTTATCGAGGCTACAATTTATTTTGATGCTTTAGGAGAAGATAATGTGTCAGGAATTTACAGAGACATTGAGGATATTTTCCCCTATGTTGGTGATACTGCCCAGGGTCTGATCTGAGATCTGGTCACTGATGTAGGCTGGAACAGTCTGAAAGTTGCTCTAGGTTGTAAACAGCTGCAGGCAGTGTTTTTAAACGTGACTGCATGAATGAAGTCTCCAAAGGCCCAGATTTTCTAAGGTAATAGCACACTGTTGATTAACATTTGCTTTCTGTAGGAATTACAAGCCTGACCTTAAATCTATATTTGGCAGTACTGGTAGGTTTGGTTTTGGTTTGGTTTTTTTTTTAAGTTTTTCAGCATCTAAGCACAGGTGAGCTTCCAGTGAGACAGAAGGTTGCACTGAGGACAGTCAGTATAATAAAGCTCTGTCAAATTAGATACTATAGCAGCTTTATTGTGGGAACAGCTGCTCATACATAAGTACTTGTCCCAGCAGAGAAATACCTACGTAAAATAACCCAGAAATGTGTGGCCAGTGAACACCCAAGGAGGCCACTATTTACTGCCTCTCCTCTGACGAGGATAGAGATCACAGGTAAAGGCAGTCTAATTGCTTGAAAGTTTTGTTTCTATGCTCAGATTTTTTATTTTTTTCAGGCAAATCTATTCTCAATACTTAAATATGTATCTGGAAATCATGTCTTACTGAGTACCCATACTTTAAAATGGTGCCCATAGCTAATGTGACTGGTACTATCCAGAGGCCAAAATGGTGAATTTTTCTTTCTGTTTCATTGCACTGAGCAATAAGCAAGGATTACTGGTCAAATAAAAATGAATTTTGAACCCATGCAGTAATGGTGGTTATTCAACCTTTGGTGGAAATCTAGCTAAGATATGCAAGCGCTATAACGGGTTGAGGGAGCTTGAGTTTCTGCAAGTCAGAATTAATAGCCTCTAAAGAGTCCTGTTTTTCAGCAGATAACTGCAGAACACTTTCATAATCTGTTAATATAAGCAAAGTTGGACATGAACATTCCTAGGCTGCTTTCAAAATCTTGGCTTGCTCATTATGCCACCTGTAGTAAAAGCTCTTCCCAAGGAAAACAGCAACACCCACCATGCTGCTGCCTCCCTGGCAGAAAACGTAGGGCTGCAGATGGCCACTGTAGCGGGGCAGGACGCGGGCTAGGTAATGATCCAAGAGGATCTGGCCAGCATCCCAGGGAACACCCTGCAACTCATTAGACTCATTTTAATTAAACTGAGGAGCCTCCCAGAGCAGCATGTGCTGTTCAGGGAAAAGACCTGATACGTTCTTCTCTCTAACAGATTTTACCTGATGGAGCCTTACCCTCCTTAGTCGACTTGGTGTTAAATTTGCTGTATCTTCTACAAAATAGTTTCAAACATTGTGGGCATCCATCAGGAACAGCATCAGTGCTTGCTTATGCACAGTCCCTTCAGGTTTCTTACAATGTCATGCTTTTATTAACTGCTTTAATTTTGCTAAAATTCAGATATTATCATTTTTTTCAGCTGTCAGTACACTGTAGTTTGTATAAATAGAGACTTTTGGTTTAAATTACTCTCAGGTATGTCTTAGTGTAGCTCTTATACAGCAACCATGCAGTATGCATGCTGTCCTCCACTGTCGCTTTCTAAAATGGCATTTTTTATCCTTGTAGGGAATGTCAGTATCTTCTGTGCCCAAGGCTCAATAAGCAATACTCAGAACTCGCAGAAAAAGTAGATGGTTGACAAAGTACTTCCATCCCCAAGTGATGAAATCACTAACTATTCCTCTATGTATTTACAGGTTCCATACGGTAGAAGTTTAAACAGCATTTCTCCAAAAATAGACAATTAGTTAATTTTGTGTTGATGAGGGTTTTGAGAGTCTAAATGTTAGTCTTGGGCACCTCTGGTCTTTTGTGGGCTTATTCGTAAAGGCCTTAGTTGGGGAAAGCCATTTTGTTCCTGGGTGTGATTGTACTGCCTTCAGTAGCAGTGGGTAAGGGACAATTTGAGCTTTTCTAGTAAAAAAACCCTAGTTACTGGGAAGAGTAGCTTTGATTGTAGGTCTCTGAAAGCAAAGGAAAGTTTCAAAATGCGAGTCTTGATTAACTGAAATAGCAGAATCAAAGCATTAGTGGTACCACCATACTCCAGCTCACCCTGAAAGAATTCTTTTATTCAAAAAACTTTTAGCTTATTATTTTCTATTATACAGTAGCTTCTTAGGCAGCAATTACGTGCATATGTGCACGTGTGTCTGTGTGCACGTCTGTGTCCGGGCATGTTATTTTCTAGTCTGAAAATGCTGGTGCTCTTTGACTGCAAGTAATAATTTTTGTGATTTCAGGTTCCTGCCATTGTGGAAAGTGCATCTGTTCACCACAGGAATGGTACATTTCAGGCGAATTCTGTGAATGCGATGACAGAGACTGTGACAAACATGATGGTCTCATTTGCACAGGTGCAGTACAGGCTAACATGTAATTGCTTGGAGAAACAAACTGTGTTGATGGGAATTATGTTAGACAAAGCCCAGCTTCTTCTTCCTCCACTGGTGGAGGACGTGCATTTGTTGATTATTCAAACCTGCCATAATAGTTTTTTCGTGCAGCGAGATAATCAGCTTAAGGTTTCAAAACAACAGTTGAAAGCCTGAGTATGAATTTAAATAAGTAAGCCAGCAATGAAATCCATCAGTTTTCACTGTAATAGCCTATAAGTTGCTGCTTTTTTTGTCAAAGGACGTAAAATGCCAGCAGTGTGTTCATGAGATTTCTTTAACTTTTTTTCTTTTACTGGCCTTTCTATGTGTGTAATGTATTTCAGTTATAGGCAAAATTCACTCATCTGAATTCGTAGGTGAGAGGCATAGCTGTGTGGGTTAACAGAGCTTCCTGGCAATCAGACAATTCTCAGTGAGAGGCTGAAATACCTGATATTTTTTCTTATAACGTGATGGGTAGTGATTAAAATGGCTTCACCTTAACGTTGTCTGAGAGTTCAGGTGTCAGATGTGGCTAGAAATGGACAGGCTACCAACAAAGCCTTGTGACAAATCTAGTGACAAGAAGCAACATGTGAGTTGCTAAATTAGCTCACTGTCTGCTTCCTGTTGAAAATTTTAATTTTAGAAAATCTTTGCTGAGCAATTATTAGATGTGGAGGAATTCTGCAAGCCGATTAGAATGAGAGTGGGAGGGACTGACACTAGTAAATTGTGTCTTTCATCTAGCCCTATTAGTAAGTTTTTTTCTGGGGGCAAGTAGCCAGTACAGAAGCAACAGGAGCCTTATCTTCAGCTGCAGCAACTGTTGGAGATTTTTGTAAAGCTGGTAGGAAAAGAAGCTCACACTGGATACCCCAGGTCTGGAGTTCTAAAGCTGGACATCCAGATCATGAAAAATATTGAAGCGTATTGGCATTTACTGTATCCCTAATGCAAAATAGGGCTGACACGTTTTTCATCTAGCAGAGAGTTTGAGATGTTATTTATTTGTATAGCACTTCTGAGAATTTAGGTTGAGAAAGTTTTGCATGTTCAAAGTGATGATTTTATTGCTATTCTATTTGTAACTTTTTGTGTCTTTTTCTTTCTGCTTAATAGTTGGAAGTAATCTTGCTTTTCCTTGTGCGTTGAGGTACAGTGTGAACACTAAGCCTCAATGTCTGAGTGTAAATAATGGTGTCATAATTACAATATTTGCAATTCTGCTGGTGGAATTATTGAGAATGCTATTAATGCTTTGTAAGTGTAGGTTTGGGGTGGCTTCTTAATGCAATGGTACAGTAATTGCTTCCTTCCAAAGGAAATAAAAAAGGGATGGGGGAACAGTAAAGGAACAATGCAACTACTTTAGCATGGCTTTTTGCTTCCCATAAACCGCATTTAAATGTAGTACATTTCAATTATGATAATTGCTCTTTATTCATTCTATTCTAGGCAATGGTGTTTGTAGCTGTGGAAACTGTGAGTGCTGGGAAGGATGGAATGGCAACGCTTGTGAAATCTGGCTGGGGAGAGAATATCCTTAACAAAAGACATCAAAGACTGAGGAGGTTTTTAATGTTTGTTTTTATCCTTAGGCTGCTAGAACATTTAATTTCAGAAGTATTCAGTGTGTAGGTGGGCATTCGCACACGTGTACATGGGTGTAGGTACCCTAGAATACTAATCTGAAGGCCTGCTCCTTAAAAAAAATATATGACAAAATTGAAAGGAAAAACATTTAAAATGCCTTAGGAGGAGGACATTCCAAGCTCTGAAAGGTGAAGTCATAAAATACTGGCCATGTGGAACTTCTTTGGAGGTTTTTGGTAAATTCAGTGGGACTGAGATTACACCTGTAATACCTACTTCTTAAATAATCTTCGGAAAAGGTGAAAAAAAGCCTTTTTAAAAAACATTATTTACTTGATTGTCACCTCTCCATATCAGTATGCAACAGAATTCTTGTAGAATAGTAGCACTAGTTGAATGTTTATCGAATAATTAATTTGAATAATTTTATGTTTGACAAATACATTGCTTGTCTGTCTTTTCATTCTGACAATCCTGATTATGCACCTGCTCACAAATTGAGAGAAGCTGTAAAGAAACTTATCAAAACGTTAATGATTTTTTTATTTGCTCAAAGAATTGTACTTGTATAACTGATGTCCGATTATCCAATAACTATAGACTGAAGACCCAAAATGTTTGAACAGACCCTTCTCTATAATAGAACTTCTTAGTTTCTGTGGTTAAGGTGTCAGTAATTTCGTTATCCAGTCTACATACAATGATATTTTCAAATACATAACCAATAGGAGTATAAGAAATTAAATTAATAAAGATATAAATGTATGATTAGCTATTCTGAATATGTATTCTGCAATTCATATGTATTTTTATCATACTGTTCTATGTTTGTACAGTTGTCTAGTCCTCTTAAAAGTAAAGGAAATGAAAATTTTTATACTAATAACTTTTAGGATGACAATTCTGTATGCTATTGGAAATCACTGTTTGGAACAGATTGCCCTGTCACACACGGTATTCATCGAATTTAACTGCTTTTATAGCAGTGAGAAGCCTGAAGGTCAACTGACTTGAAAAGTCAGCTATGCTGTGCAGTAGCCTGGTCTCAGCCAGAGATGTTCAGATAATGGCAACAAAGTAATTGAAGTTTTAATACAGTAAATACAAACAAAACAGTGGTATGAACAAAAATTTTATTTTTTATTTTTTCCAGTGGTGAAATGCTGCTCAGTGTGAAATTCACATTGAGTTATGAATGATGCACAACTATTGGGACTTCCCTAACTTATTTACATATGAGTCTCTTTTTACTACATGTAGATTTGGCAGCCCTTGAATTCTTTAGAGCAAAAAAAGATACATACATTTTAGTTTCAAAAGTGTTTACATTGTGTGAGACCATGATTGAGCGAGAAATTGCTTAAATTGTTGGAAAATATGTCTTTTTAATACCAAACTGTAACATTGTGGTTTAGGTGCCACGTTCCTGATTTTTGAAGAGGTACATGACTCAGAAACAAGGGAACTATATACCAGCCAAAAAAAGTATTCCCATTACTAGTCTAGAAATCAGTTTTCTTTTAGAAAGGACAATCTTGAAATAGGAAAATACAATGGTACAGAACATGTAATAGAATGCAAAAAAATTAAATGAATTTATTTAATCACTTTTGTTTCCCTTCCCTTCTCATGTAGTTTGCTCTTTCTCTTACTCATTTCTTTTTCCTTAACCTGAAATCTTTCTTTCTAAAAACAAAGTTTGTGAAACCCATGTTCTCAGGGAGTATAATCATCAAGTGTCCCTGCATAACTGATATAGAAGTTATGCAGATAAATAACAAGACCAAAGCTTCTTGCTGCTCTCTTTTTAGATAACCAAAATATCAGAGTTTTAAAATTTATTGTTGTGGTATAAGGATCTTCAAAGTAAAATTAATCTCACAGTTATAGTTTATATTTCATACTTGTGACCCTTAAACTGTAGATCGCAACAGGGAGATTTTCAAAAATTTTAACATATATGCATTTGTCAACTCTGTTGTCTGGGGAGCACAGATTATTGACTTTATTTATATTTATGAATACCACTGCCCTGAATCATCTTACAATGAGTTTTTTTCATGTATACATTCATCTGCTGAATCAGAGTGTAAACAATGACAGATACAAAGTTTTCCTCAATTTCTTTCTATTTGCATTTAGTACTGTAGTAAGAAAAACTAGATAATCAAAACTATTATCTAGGTTCAGTGGATGCTTTTGACTTGTTTCATGATGTGATCAGCAGATTTATATATACCATAGATCAGCAGTGGTATTTAAGGTACTCATACTCTTAGACAAAAGAACAATTCTTTAGAGAGTTGCAATGTCATATTTGATGCATTTTTCTTTGTAATTTGCTCTCATTTTAAAGTTATACACTTAAAGAGTGTATGATGGTTCTGACTTCTAGTTAGATTTTTTTTTTAAATCAACTCCAACATTTTTGGCTACTGTATGGATTACATAGCCATAGCGTTTAGAAAACTGTTATCCAAATTAAGGTACATATGGAAAATATTAGAATATTCTAAGACCGCAACTGTCAGTGGTTGATTAAAATGTAAATTACCAAACAAAATGGTGCTATTGCTATGAACTTTAAAGTATTAACTAAGACTACTAAAAATATGTGTACATAAATTCCTTTTCAATTTTTATTGTTTCTCATAAAGTTTCTTGACCATTCCCCGCTCTCTTCATGCCGAGGTAACTGGTGATGTAGCTCCCAGCAGATCTGTTTTTGTGGCTCATTTCTTTATTAGAAAAATTACATCAGAAACAATAGGATTATTGTGCCACATATGTGAAAATAATAGCTATTTTAATAAATTGTGATTTTACACCTCATTCTCTGTAACTGAAATTCCAGATACATCAACTGTAGAAGCAGGAAGAGGTGTAAGGGAGTGAAACATACTGCTTGATGCTTCATACCTGTGAAAACTTGCTTCCAGGCCTATGGTAGAAGGTTGTTCTAGGTGGCAGAAACAAGCTGGATAAATGGGGCTTTTGACTAGATTGATAAGCCTTATAAACAAAAGATACTATAGCCTTGCTTTCTTCTTATAAGAGAAAGAACACAACCCAGAAGTGTGCTGAATGAGTCTACAATAGACTTGCAGGACTATGCCTACTGTATGCAACATATCTCTAATATCACCTATAAAACAGCCATGGACAGATTTGCTTCTATTAATTATTAACCCACTTGTGATCTGGTTTTCCCTGGCCAGACTCTCTTTTGAAATGACACAGATGAACATTTAATCATGTACCTGCTCTGACGTTTCTGATGCACTACCCTTGATTCTTTACAGAATGACATCTCACTTTGTAGCTAAATGATACCTTGAATTGATACTGGGATGAAGAAAACTAAGTTGAATATTTCTGTGACTAGGTAATAGAACAAAAATTCCATTACGTCTTTAAAAATAAGTCATATCATTTACGTTAATCACCACAAAAAAAGCCCCATTATTAGACATTTTAAAATGCATTGCAGAGAATATGAGTTTATCTGAAGGGGCATTTAAAAGAAAGATAACCTCCTTAGTCTAATTTTGCTTGCATTTCCATTTGAATGGAGCTGAATAATTTCTTCTTTATACCAATAAACAGATGGATCAGCAGGACACACTTTTAAACTGCCTGCTTTTGTACCTTGTTGTTTACAGTGGTTTTAAGCCAAGAGAAAAAGTTTCCCCAAATATATATTAAAAGTCCAAGTTCTTAGTTCTTAGGCAGTGAATTACTTTACTTTAGATTTGGTGGGAGGGGGGTTTTTAAGAACCAACCTGACTCTAACCACAGCTAAAGTTTATTGGAATGACAGTATATTATAAAATTATTTGAGAGTGGCTAAAACCCGAGCAAATTAAGCAAAAGCTGTGCTGTGAATTACAAAACACTTAAAAGCTATAAACGCCTTTCTATAGGCTCTATTGTGTGAGCAATCTTGTAAGATTCTTGTGTATTTATAAAATTTTTAAAGTACGACAAAATGGTGCTTTCTTGAAGTAGTTAACATCTACTTAAATTTGGATTTCTAAAACCGTCCAAGTGTGACTGATTCTGCCAAACAGAGCTGTATCTGAAATACAGATTTTTAAAAAAGGAAAGAATTAATGATTATGTGCTGTGTAAACATATTAAATGGTAAAATGAGGTTGGATTGCTGTGCAAACAGTCTCTCAGAGATTAGGTAAAACCCAGAAGAACAAAATACAAAGCAAGCATGCAAAAGATCTGGAACACTGCAGATTCACAGACAGCTGGACATGTAAGTACAAAAACCCCAATCTGTAAATACAAATTGATTCCATCAGGTTTACTATACAGTACTTTAGTAGTAACATACAGTTGAAAACAGCTTTCACTTAACATCAAAATTAATTTTAGAGGGAAGAAAATAGTGAAGTCTCATCCTGGAGAACAGCAAGAGAGGTATTATATTAAGGAGCTAAAATTTTCTTTGGCATGGTAAAAGGGGAGAACTGAGTTTGCCAACCTATTTACATGAAGTTTCACCATCCTGTGGCCAGTGCAATGATGTTTTGCACAGTCTAATTCTTACATAAACTTTTTTGTTGATTTCCGGCACGCCTTCATATAAATGTTTTATTCATCATGTTGAATCTGTGTGTACAACAAATAAGAATAAACACTAATTGTACAATGCAGACAAACTCTTTGCATATATGTATGTCAATTTAGTAATACAGACCAACAGTTCTTTGATAGACACAACCTACTACATGCAGTTAATCCTTGCCATCCTCTTCCCATGCAACAGATGAGACAAGAGACAAAATTAAAGGAAGGAAATAAAGCACATCTATTCATTGGATTAAACACATGTATGGATTTAGCCCATAAAAAGAAAACTAGGGAAAAAAATAATAAAATGTTGCATTTCCAGCATTTACTAACTGTTTAGAAAAATCAAATCTGGCCTTCATTACCCCCC